TAATGCAAGTTGCGCTTACTTCCAAGCTTCCCGTTGTTTGATTTCTTAGGGAGCGAACAGAGCGCAACCCAGTCGGGCGGAATTATGCTATTGAGCGGCCCAGAAGCTTAAGGGCACCCTGAGGATTTACGAGGACCGTGTGCGATGCTAAGGCTTGCTATAAAACAAAACTGCGTCAACATTAAAAAAACAGCTGCTCCGGGTGTTGAGGAGCTCCCGAGAGCAGCGAGGAGGGAGGCGAGAAGGAAAGAGAGGGAGGAAAAAAGAAGTGTGCAGGAGAACCGTAGCAGAAATGCCCAAACCGAAACCGAAACTACTTGAGCGGAACCGGAACTAGGATATGCTTCATGCAGCCCGCTAGGAGCACTAGCTGTCACTGGTCTATCTGGGCCGCTGGGGCCTATGGCAGTGTCCGCTCTTTACCTTGAGTATATTACTCTATGGTTATCCTTTTCTCTCTCGTTTCTTTTTGTTTCGCGAGCTTTTTCTCTTTATCTTCCACTTTAACCGTCACTTCAAGAACGTGGCATTCCCCCCTCCTTCAAGAGCCTGACTTCCTGAGGCGGAGAAACCGCAAAGCTCTTATCAGGTGTGCGTCATGTCGTTGACGTCGCTTATCTTCCCCACAAACTCGCACACACACACACACACACACGCAGAAAAACATTAACTTACACACACAAAAAATTAGACATTGATATTCGCACCAGTCTTACACTGTTTATAACACTTCTTCAAACTCAGCAGTTTATCCTTTGAAAGTTTCGGACAGACGTCTTCTTATCGACACATTTCTGTGACTTTTCTTTAACTTTGTTTCAAATTGTCTTAAAGCTCAATGGTAAATTATATTGGCTAGACACGACTCCTCACACGCGACTTATAAAATCAGCCCCTACGTTGTCTATACTTTTAATATATTCTACAAGAAAACTTCGTTCTTGTAATGTCATACTTCATCTAATCACTAGACAGGTTGTGAGCATGGCTTTGTTAAAAATATACAAAGGAATATTTTAACAAAGCCGCTCTCGACTCAGAACGTCCTACAAAAACAGCTTGAACCTGGCAACGGCCCATACCAAAGCCAAAAAGTTTTTTTCACCGTTGCCAACTTCCTTTCTGCATTTCTAAACTTTCTGCTTGCATACGCTGCTGGTCATCTTTCTCTTGAAACAAGACTGCACCCACACTTCCATCAGTGGCGTCCTTCCTTAGTACGAACTCTTTTTCTGAGTTCGGTGCTAATAGGATATGCGACTGCCCCAGTCTTATCTTTAACTGCTCGAAAGCCTCTTCCTGCTCTAGCTCCCACTCAACCTGATCCGCGATCCCTTTTAAGTTAGCTCTACTAGTGGTGAAGTCAGACGAGCATAGTTCTCAGCGAATTCTCGATAGAAGCCCGTAAGACCGAGGAACGATCTTATTTGTACGGGGGATTGGAACATCCTGAATCATTCAATGAGTTTAGGATTCCGTGGTATCTTCCCTAGTCCAGTATCGTGTCCCAAGAAGCTGATCTCTTCGAATTCTAACTCGCCCTTTTTCGGCTTGATCATGATGCTGGCCGCTGGCAGGCGTTGAAAAATACGGCAGAGCGTATCAATGAGCTTCTCCCACGAACGTATTGCGACTGGGATATCATCAATGTAATCATGCGCGTCTGGGATGCCGTCCAGCAACTTGCGCATTAGTTTAGTGAATGGTAGTTGATGCAGTCTTTAAATCAAAGAACATAAAGTTGAACTGGAAGAGTCCGCTTGCTGAAGAGAACGCTGTATTTTCCTTCGTGCATTCCTCCATGGGTACCTGCCATTATCCCTTGGCTACATCAAGCTTCAAGAAAAAGCGCTTCTCTCCTGTTTTGGCAAACGTGCCGTCAATTTTCGATATCGGCTCCGCATTGGGTTTGAGGACGTCTATAAGTCTCCTGTAATCAATACAAAATCTGTTTGACACGTCCTTCTTCTTCACGATCACGAATGGTGTGTTGTAATATTACGTACATCTCTCGATATCACCTAGCGTTAACAACTCGGAGATCTCTTCCTCGATCGCCTCTTGAACCGACAGCGGAAGTGGATGTTGTTTCACATGCACTGGTCGTGTCATGGTTACTTGCAAAAAACACGTTACAAAATGAGTTCTTCCTAGAAGATCGGAGAAGATATCTTGATAAGCTTTGATTAGCGCACGCACCTCGCTACTTATTTTTGTGTCCAAGTTCTTGCTGACAATCACATGTTCCCATCCTTGCTGCTTCGTCCAACTCGCCATGGAAATTTCCTTGACGTCTTCGAGACTTAGCTCTCCTGGAGCCTTCTCGTTGACTAACGCAGCAATATTACAGGTTGTCTGCTCTTGTCGCGTCATCTCCATCTCCTCGTGTTCCTTTAAAATGTTGACATAAAAAAAACCTTCGTCTTGCCTCTCACTTCTAATTCATATAAAACTTCATTATTCCTTGCCGTTACTACGAAGGGCACTTCCCACTGAATGTTCATCTTGTTGGAGTTTGTCGGCAGAGGAATTAAATCCAAGTCGCCTGGTCCCATCTTGCGAGTAGAGCTCCTTCTGTCGTAGTAACCCTTACAATTGGCTCTGGCTTCGTCTAAATCCATATGCGCCCAGTTCGCAGGTTCTCCCCAGTTTTTTTTCTTAGCTCAAGAATATAGCTGTACGACTTATTCATCTTTTTCTTCAGCATTTCGCATGATCATACTTTTTTTTAGAATCGTGAAGGGACCTCGTGCTTGTTTGTCGTAGAGTTGCCGGAATGGTGAAAACTTAAGACTCGACGACGGCACCTCTCTGTATGCAAAGAGCAGCGCTGGAAAGTACCTGTCCTTGTATTTTCGTCTCTCTTAAAACATCCTCCTTAGCATTCGCTTGATGGTGCCTTTAAACCTTTCGACCAGTCCGTTACACATAGGGTGGTAGGGTGTGGCAAGCAGGTGCTTCATCGGTAACACGCGAGCATTTTCTTTCACCGTGTAAGATGTAAAGTTAGCGCCGCGGTCGCTAAGCATGTCTGTCGGTACACCCCCCCCCCCCTTCCATAGTGTGTGAACATTTCTACCAACGCTTCGGCCACCTGCTGATATCGAATGCTTTGCAACGCTACCGCGTCCGGATATTTCGTTGCCATGTCTGCCATGGTCAAGATGTACAGTGGCCCAAGTTTTTAATAATATCAAGCGAGCGTCGATTGCCGGGCCGGCCAGCGCCGCGCCGTGGAGGGGTGCGGCGATACGGGAGAGGTTAGGCGCGTGAGCACAAATCTTTCTGGTGTGAGCGTCGTCTTCTAGGCTATTTCTTTCACCGCAAAAACCCCTGCTACGTAGCAAAGGCGCGCAAAGCGCTGTTTTATCCAACGCCCACTTCTCTTTTTCTTTTTCTTTCTCTCTCCTTCTCTTATCTGTTGGTAGAGGAAATATCTGAAGAGCGCGCTCTGGCACGATACTCGTCTTGCGTGGCATAAACAGTGCCGCAAAGACGCGCGGTTTCGGCCAACGTTACTCGATCAACTCAGTTGGCAAACTCTCCCGGAGAGCGCGATCACTTCTAAGACACACGCTGACACATGTCGGTTTCCGCTGATAACCCCTAGATACGGAAATTCTGTTTGAAGCGTCAACCTTCTTGCCCGCTGCGGCCGTGTTTTGAACTGATGTTGCAAGACGCACCGCAGCGAGCAGGAAGGTTGGCACTTCGAACAGCGTTAGCCCGGCTGAGGGGTACGAGAAGGAATCACGCTCTCCGTGGGAATTTGCCAACTTAGTTGGTCGAGTAACGTTGGTTTATGCTGCGCATGAGCAGTACCACGCTTAGCTCTGCCAGCAGATAAGGAGCAGGGGTTCTGTGCGGTCAGCGGAATAGCCTTGCAGACGACGCTCGCACCGGAAACAGCTTTGTGCCCACGCGCCTAATCTCTCCTGTATCGCCGCAACCCCCCCTCCCTCCGCGGCACGGCGTTGGTCGGCCCTGCGGTCGACACTCGCGTCGCGTGATCTTATAGTAAACTTTGGCCACTGTACTTGTTTCTCGCAGTGGCGTCACGAGGGTCAGCGGCACCCAGAACGGAAGCCCAACAGGACCCCCCCCCCCCCCCCCCCCCCCGCTCTCGCCGCTCGCGTGACCCGCCGCTACTCCTCCCCGCTCTCGTGGCCCGCCGTCCTCGTAGTGCTCGTTAAATAGTTATCTCGTTTTACTCTACTCTATACCTATATTGAAGTTCCTTCGCAATCACACGCCCAACAATAATTATACTGATTTAAGAGTGTATCTTGTTTTAGACGGCTTGATTGGGATTTACCATAACTATTATTTGTAAACAAAAAGTTCTTGCTGAACACATATTTTTTTACTTTTTTTCGATTATTGCGCTCGTTAGCCGCATTCACGATGCAAGCAGGAAACGTAAGCGCGCTGAGCTGCGTTGCGAAACTCCTATTTTATACACCGTCGACCTGCATTTGGATCCCCCAATTTCTTAGGGTAACCCAAACGTTCGGGCCCCCTATCCTAAAACTGTCTATTGGTGCGATGGGTCGAATAATGTTGATTCCCACTTTCTCGAATGGCGTCTCAGTCGTGGGCATATTCCCCCAAGTTGCCCTGACAACTTTTTCTTTTGGCACCGTGCGCTGACAGAGATCGCATGATCGGACGTACAGTCGGCACGGAATGAAACGCGAACGAGGAGCGCATGGTTTTCGACCCACGCTGAGTCACCTAGAGACGCAACACCGAAGGTTTGGATGCACTAAGCAAGAGTCTAACACATCGAAGGAGGAGCCATCTTCTTGCAGCTCTCATCTGGTTCAGGTGGTGCAGCATCTAGCGAAAACCATGCACCCACTGTTCGCGTTTCATTCCGTGCCGACTGTACCTTCTAATATCGCTTTTCATCCCAGGCCAGAAAAATTCTTGTCACCAAGTTCAGCGTATTCTTCATTCCTTGGTGCCCGGACATGATGCCGTTGCGAGCGAATTTGCGAATGTTATCACTGCCTGTCAGAGCTTTTTCGGGATTTCGGGAGTACCAGTTGGGTTGTCTTCCTCCCTGACGAGTACTCAACATACCTGTAGAACAGGTCGATTTTCACGAAGGACTGAAACTTCGTCCTAGACTTAGGCGTTCTCGTGATTTGCCCAACCACATCAAAACACTTAATAAGTGTGTCATCTTCTCTCTGCTCTCTAGTGAGCGCCTCTGTAGTTGTATTGATCATTGAAACCTGCGGTACCTTCAGGCGTGCCTCTTCGTTTTTCTTTTCTCTACTACGCGTCACGTTCGTACCTAGACAACTTCCGCTGGAATCACCGGACATGACCTCACATTGTCCTTGACCGAGCCAGACCCTCCGTGAACATCAGACCACCTTTCGGACCATCGACGCTACTTGACCTTGTCGTCTGAAATCTCATGTGCCACTTTACTTGTCTTTTCGCAATTCGGGTCTGGATTGTCCGCGTTTCGGACTTGCGGAATGTTCCCAAGCACCAGATAACACAATAGATTGTCGATACTTCGCTGAAACCTGACCTGTGTAGAACGGCGTCTGGATCAAAATCTTCGCTTCAGGTAGATACTTGACCCTGCGGTCCAATAAAAAAAAGAGTGTGGGTGGGCAAAGCCAAAATTAGCTCCTTATCTACTGTACTCGGCCTCTCGGACATTCGACTTAGAAAGTTCGGGAGTGAGCTACGGCGAGACTGATTAGGCAAGATCATTCTCGCCTCTTTATCTTTTCACTCGGGTTAGGAGTAAAAACGAATCATCTAGATGTATTGAAATCGTTTCTTCTCGATCATGCACGCGGCACTATTACATACACGGAACGATCATGGGGTAACATGGTTTGAGAAAACTTATCAGTCTGTGAATCTCAAACCGAAATAATTAATCGGGACCATGCCCTGTCGTGTTTTTTTTTTTTTTTTTTTTTTGGCAGATTACTTTCCTATCATGTTGTCATTCGAAGCGCTACATTAAGAGAATTGTATAGCCTAGCAATATAAATAAAAATAGCACTTGTATACCTATAACACTTGCAAATACTCTCTGTATTTATCTAGAAAACAGCGGTACTCACTACCCGAAACATTGGCCGAATATGGTAGGGCATATATACAAATCGGGTCGGTAGGTGGTTAGAATAGCGACTCGCGCACCTGTCGCATCGGAGTTGTTTGTGCGTTTTTGTACTGCTGAAGTGTATATGCCTGTAGCTGGTGCTCAGTACGTCGGTTCTTGTTCGTTTTGTGCATATATGCTGTATGTGGTAATGTGCAACCTCAGAAGCCCGGAGTAAAAAAAATCCCTTTTAGCGCTCTCTAGTGGTTACTGCTACACTTTCTAGGTGGCGCAAGCTGCCACCTGATTTAAGAAGCTAAGTGTTGAGCTGTCATGCATCTATTGATTTAGAAACAGCTGACCTACTGGCCAGTTAGTTGTACCCTCCATACCTCTCAGTTCGATAAAAATCGTGATAATCATGCCACCCAGCAATCTAAATGCGCGTTCTGCGTCCAAGAGCTGCGAATCGCAGGCACACATGCACACGAAGGAATACCCACATGGTAGATGTAAACACAAAAAAGAAACAATCAAAAAAAAATAGCTGCAGAAAAAACTATTGTTGGTTGTCTTTGCCGTGCGATATCATTCGTCTAGAACAAGCTCAAGGACGACGTCAAGGAAGACGTCGAGGACGATGTCCTAGGACCTAGAGGAGGACATCAAAGGCGAGGTTTGGGACGACTTCAAGGACGACCTTTATTACGACGTCTAAGACGACGTCAAGAACGACGTCTAGGATGACCTCTAGGACGACCATAAGGAAGACCTCTCGGAAGACGTCGAGGAAGACGTCAAGATTGTCAGGTCCTTCGAAGAGGGTGCTATTATAAAGGAGTGTGAGATTGTGAGCTGAAATGGTCTACTGCGCAGACTTACTGTACATTAGGAGGCCAGAACGTCCAATAAATCCGAGGGCGGGGGGGGGGGGGGGGGGGGGTCGTGTAGGTAATAAGTGCTGTCGCATTAAAACTCCATATGGAGCGTACGTGCCAAAGCGTCAAGCAGTGTACAGTGCTCACCTAACGTATACGAACGACGCGAACTGTGTCTTATCTTATGAGAGCGATATCCTGACTGCAGCCAGAGTTGCTCCACGCCATAGCGCTCTTTAGGGCAGCCAAGCAGGGTAGGTCACACGCTCATGGTCGAATTCGGAGCTGGGCCATTGACACCACAGGAATTCTGCAAACCGGTAAATCACGCTTATCGCAATTTCTTTTTCGCACAAGTTGCCTAGGCCAAGCCCGTAAGTGATTGGATTGGGTTAAATTAGTAAGAATCATGTTTCTACTGAGTGAGCCATCCACTAATTAACAATCTTGGCATTCCTTAGTGAGAGGGGGTAGAGAAAAATGTTATTCGCCCTGCAGGTAAAATTGCTGCGTTTTTCTCAGGTCAGCCACGATTTAGCTTTGAGGGAGGGAGCTCCCTATTAGAATGAACATCTGGGCGAGTTCATAGTGAAAAACAGCGCGACGGGGACGAGAACATAGAAGAAAGATACACTGGACAAGCGCTGTCCAATGTGAATATTTTTTGTCCTCGTACCAGTTGTGCGGTCTTTCACTGTCATCTCCCCATCTTGGGCTGTTTCATGGAGCTCTACGACACTAATCAGTTTTTCGGCTGCCGTCAGGATTGTGCTCCCTTGACATTAAACCGAGTTCGCTTGTGTCGTACAAGATTGATAAAAACTATACATAGGTAACCGGGGAGCTAATGCCTCAAAGGTTCTGAAGCATTATTTCGTAACGTCTTTAAAAAAAGTTTTATTATCACTCTCTTTCCTTTACCCTATTGTGGGACATCTTGGAGGACCTTCTTAGTGTGAAAAAGAAAGAGATTGATGTCGAAGCTCGAACCGTTGGGTGTCATCTTGAATCTCTTCATCAGCCTGGATGACAGTTCGCTCCTCATGTTTGATGTCTCCTCCTTCGATGCGCCTGCTTTCACAGACACAGTCGGAACCAGGATGTCTGCATAGAATTTGAGCCTGGGTTGTAAAACGTTTAATCGGGTTTTACGTTAGAAGACTGTTCACTATTCCTACATTTAGAGTGTTAAACCGGTCATCATTCCGGTTCGGTTCAGGTTCGCGTTCAGCGTTTTGTATTTTGTTCCGGTTTGGTTAAGATTAAGTCCTACAAACAATATTTCGCTATGGTTTCCTCCACCAAGCGCGAATCGGTTCAAACCGGTTCCTATTTCTACCTTTGGTCGTGGCCGCCCATGCCTTTCCTTGTTGAGCAAGCGCTACTTGCAGGATTCGCACAGAAGGATGAAGTGTAATGTTTTCATCGCACTAAAATAACAAGGCAGAATGGGAAAGACATGCGTATTATGTTGGTCAATATATGCGAACTTTGCTGGGTCGCCGTGCGCGATGAGCGCACTATCTCCGTGTGGCAGTTCTGGTCATGTTCAGGGAATAAAATGTAAAAAACAAAAAAAACATACTACTTCGAAGGTCAATGTTTTGGAAATATCCTACAAATTGATTAGTTATTAAACGACAGAGGGTCCGTTGGGTGAGACTAAAGTTTCGAACAAATGCGACGAAAGGTCAAGTCTTATTATTAGTGGCATTTCGTCTTCTAACTAACTATATCAACTGAGATCATCAGGTGGCACAACAGCTTAGCAATCGGTATGCAGTTATTTCTTTTCAGGAAAAACGCTTGTCTTCAACATAAGAAGCACAAATATAATGTTGAGGAATGCGGAAACGCTAGCACAATTTCTATTTTAATTAGAAGTAAAATTGTTTGATGCATTGCCGGATTTCAGTCATAAATATTTATAGATAGAATCGTGAGAGCGTGCTGGTTAAACATCTTGGTATGCCAACGCAAAAGGAGACTAGGGACACGCAAAAGCTGTCCGTGTCTGACGAGTTTTTGTGTGTCCCCTGTCTCCTTTGGCGTTCGTATACCAAGAGGTATAAATAATTGTATGCACCGAAAAAATATAATGGAGACTCTTCATATAATAAAAATAGGCTTAAAAATAATTCCTTTCGTAAAAAGATTTTTTTGGTTACCATGAATCAGTTTAAATAAGGAATTAACCTAGTCTCAGTCGTTATTTATATTGTCTTCATTTTCATTGTACCAGACTCCATCGCAGTGCCGTCGAGTAAAACACAGAGGAAATACAAGCGACAATATAAGTCAACCCCCGCTCGGCTATTTGTTTGTGCTTTCATTTTATCTATTTAGCTATGTGGTCTCGAATCTAAGTTGCCGCGTGGATTATACAAGCTGAAACACCAGATCTGGCCTTTTTCTATGTCTGCGGTCCCTAGAAACTCGATCCATAAGATTCCTAGACCTTAGACTGTTCATAAAAAACCACAATATCTGCTGGTCCTACGAATCTACAGAAAAAAAAACACTCCTTAGCTATAGCTCAGCACACTCAAAGTTTATTAAGAGGAGCATTGCCAAACCCTGTCTAAAATAACTCTCTTAAGAAATTATGCAAGCACAAAGTGCATACGAGCTTCGAAGTGCAAATATCTCGATTTGACTCCGCGGGGTACCCTTCGTCTTTATTAACAGCAGTTACCGAATGCCTCCTCAGGGAAGTCAAGCATGAAGGAGTTAAGAGACGCAGTCCAAGAGACCGCACCACAGGGCCTCTTATTGTACCCTATCTTCACAACTTCTCCCACAAGCTCAATAAAACAGCGAATCGGGTCAATGTAGACTCGTCTTTTCCGCTCCGCATAAACTTTCCAGCTTAAATAAGAAGGTAAATGGGCCTTGGAGGCATGCCGCAAATTTCCCCCTAGTTTAGACATGATAGCTCGTCAAGTCTGCCCGACCTGAGCTATCCGTGAAGGGCGCCCCAACGGCTCATCCATTTCTTTTGGCGGCACCGTCCAAGGGAATTTACGGGAACGGGCTGACATGGCCGCGTGGGAAGCGAGCCGAGTAGCCGTTACCAGAGCCGCATTAGAATCGTTTTCGTGGAGCGAGGGCGGAAAGGGTGGTAGGGAAGCCTTGGCTGCTCACCTTGTATGCGTGGAGAGTTTGCTGTCACTAGGGCCAATAGGATTGCTTAATCTCCCTGATTGGTCAGGCCCATCGTCAGTACGTGGGTTTTGAGGTCCTGGCGAGCGAGGACGGGTTTAGTTGAAACGGGTCCGCGGTTCGAGGGCCGGGTTTGTGTCCCGCGGTCCGAGGGCCGCGTAAGTTTGTCGTGCGCGACAAAGTAGTCTGCCTGCACCGTGCGCTGTTGGGCACTTGGCGCCGAGGCGCATCATCGTTGACTGAGGCTGTCGCGAGCGACAGTTCGCAGAAGCGCGACGTGTCCTTGTTTTGTTTTCTAAAAATCTGCTCGTCATCTCTAAATATATTCATATTTCCCCGACCACCGAGCCTGAGCGTCACTGAGCTGACCGGAAACGAGTGACCCTCCAGCCATCGCAGCACCCAACGATCGACCGGTCCTGATCGGGACTTCGAGGGAGGCACCCACGGACCGGGGAAAGCAATCATCCTCGGGGGAGGACGAAACCTTACTGGCCTTCTATTCAACCAGTGGGCTGCACCAAGAACCACCAAGCGAAGTTTGTTCCTTCCACATTGTTATAATTGAGCGCAAATAGAAAGGAACAGAGGAGAGTGAAGAGACAAGCGCAAACAATAGGGGATTCAAAGTCTACCTCCTAAACCCTGTGAGGCTGAGCTCAGTAAAATACATTCGACACCCACGGCTGCTCGTGTAAAACTCTCCTTTGCTTCCTCTAAAGAACATGCACGCCCCCTTCACACTAAGAGGGCGCCACTAACTGGACCTTTTAAACTCAAAACTAGCGACCACTACATCCCCCCTTAGAGGCCGCATTTTCGCCAAAACAGTTCTTGTGTCGAAGCAGACCCGCTTATTGTTCTAAATGGTCCCATAAACTGCAATGTTTTTAAACTGTCCGCCCTTACAAGGCAGTAATACATAAAGGAGGGGATAAAAATGATTTAAACAATTATATACAAATTTCTGTTCTACCAGTGTTTTCGAAAACTATAGAACAAGTTATCAATGAACGAATTCTACACTACTTTAAAATGACAAATCTTATATCAGAACAACAGTACGGCTTCCAGTAGAAAAACTCGACGGAAATCGCACTGTTAAGCCTAAAAGATAAAATAATTGCTAATTTTGAACACCAACTGTATACAGTAGGCGTATTCATTGACTTAAAAAAAGCGTTCTATTCAATCAAGCACGATATTTAATTGGGAAAACCTTATAGATGTGGGATTAGATGGAATTCGCTTAGCCTAATAAACAGTTATTTATCTAATCGGTTGCAATATACAGACGTTAATAACGCGAAGTCAAATATGGGTAAAATCAAGCATGGTGTCCCGCAGGGCTCTATCCTTGGCCCGCTGTTATTTTTAGTGTATATCAACGACATAACTAACACACCGCTTTCTGGAATATAATTCTTTACGCTGATGACACTAATATATTTTTTTCTGGGAAAAACCTTCAAGAGATTGAGCACCATACCAGTACGTGGCGCAGAAATGTATCATTATGCTCATAGCAAATAAGCTAGAATTGAATACTAAAAAAAAATAAGTATATAATTTTTAGACCACGCAATAAATGTGTCGAGCAAAAAATCCTCATACAATATCCAAGTGAAATTATTGAACGGGTTGTTTCGCACAAATTCCTTGGCGTTTTGTTTCACGAAAACTTAAGCTGGTCTTTTCATGTAGACAAACTAAGAACCGAGATCTCGCGCTTCATTGGTCTTATCTGTAGAGTTAGACATTTATTGCCACGTCAAATAAAGAAACAGTTATACTGCGCATTGGTTCATTCTCGTTTTAACTACTGCCTACTTGTATGGGGAACAACTACAAAAACAAATATAGACAGCCTATATACACACTGCAAAAGCAAGTCCTGCGTTCAATAGAAAATCCACCGTACAGGAGTCATTCTGCTCCACTTTTCAGAAAGCACCAATTATTAACATTGCAAAATGTTATAAAAGAAATTATAAAGTCCGAGCCAACAGCCTTCTTTCAACAGTACCTTTGGAGAGAACATACATACAATCTTATATCTACAAACTACACAAGAGAAAAAGTACGCACAAACTACGGCAACCAAAAACTATCTAACCAGATACCCATCCTTTTAAATGACCATCCTGATCTGATGGCTATAATCTAATGGTGAATTCCGCTCGCAGATCTCGAGCGCTCCAAAAGCGCTCCATTTGGAGCGCGCATATTCCGCTCGCAGATCTGGATCAAGTTGGTCATCTTCCGCTCGTAGATCTCTGGCAGCGCCCGCTCCACGGAGCGCCCCAAACGCCGCCGAACTTGCTCGGCGGGGTTTCACAGATCTCTCCGGAAGTTGACAGAGCGGCCCACGTGATTTCCGTCTAAATCGGCGGTGCACATCCGCGGCGAGGTTGGAGAGATCGGCGGGCCGCTCGGCCGGTCGTTGAGTTGGATCTGTTCGGGTGCGTCGGTTGTTTACTCTGGATTGTGACGGCTCCAACGCTTCTACTTCGCGTAGATCAGGGATAAAAAGCCGGGAATGTGGAGCGTGGCAAATTGTAAGCGCTGACTCTGTGATCGCGAGAGGAAGAACGAGAAAAGGAACGACAGAAAAGCCGGAGGCAGACGCAAGGTTAGGCCTATTCATTCTGCAGCCAGTGATTGTTTACCTTTTTGCACTGCATTCCGTCGGCGTTTTCCCGTGAAATAAAGCAAGAAGTGGTTAGGCAACGACCGCGCAAGTAATGGTTTGTTACCTCTGTGTTTATTAAAGTCGTACTACAAATCTGAACTCCACCGCTGGCAATCGCTGTCCGTGCCCCGCCGCTTCGAGGCGGCCGAAAGGTGTGTGACGGTGCCGAACGCGGACGTCTTCGTTATTTGTGACATGAGCGCCGTGGTACGTATAATTTCGCCCGGTCTGTGTCGCGTGTTACTTCTGCAGCTAAGCAGTGACAGTCGTCACTGGTCGTCGTAAAGGTTAGCCGGCTGAGGCGTTGGTGGGACTGGTCAAGTTCGACCAGCGGCCATTTTGTACGGCGGAGGGAGAAGGGATGGGAAGGGGTGTGGGGGAGGTCGCTCCAAAAATGCAAGTTTATCTTCCCCTCGTCGATTCGGAGCGGGTCCCACGGAGCGGAATTTCACCTCCCTCGCGGATTTTGGAAAGCGCTCCAGATCTACGAGTGGAATTCACCATAAGACAGTGTATCAATTCAGGCTTTACTTTCTGTCATATTAAGAGTGACTGCGTTCTCGGTTTTTTTATTTGTTTCTTAGAGTGTTATGATATGTGCTGTGTCATGTTTAATACTTCTTTTTTTTTATCAAAGCAAGTTATTTGTTATTTCTTGACCTTTATGCTGTGCTATCCGTGTGCACTGTTGTGCTTATGGTTTTCATATGCTTGTTTACGTTTCGCAAGTTTTCATTATTCTGCCTTCGTGTGTGGCACGCTGAGTGATGTGCGGGGGGGGGGGGGGGGGGGGGAGAGAGGGGGTCGACGCCTCGTCAGGCATTTAGTGGCCTTTTGCGACGGCCCCCTAGACAACTGTCTGATGTATATTGTCTGAATAAAACATTGAATTAAACGTCTGGAGTGGGCCACGGCTCGTCCGCTGCGAGTCCGATAGGAACTTGTCGACACAGGTGGCCTTCTTGGGTCACTGCTAATATTCTGCTGAGCAGCTATTGGGAATGGAGGCGCACCATTGGCTGCCTGGTTGTTCAACCAGTGACCTTGGGGATGCAAACCCAACCAGTCCCCTGTGGTTGCGCTTAAAGACCGCTTCACTGTGGTCAGCTTCCACCAGATAGCTGCGGGGACGCTGTCCTGGGATGAGCACCATGGCCGGACACTGTTTTGACTGTACCCAAACTCTTTTTTCAGAACGTAGAGGAGGCAACTCGCGGGCAGCAGGTCGTTGGTTGAATGCATGAGCTTGTTTCCGTTTATACAACTGATTCCTCCTTGCCACGCGAGTGGGCGACGGTGGCCGCGGAGGAGCTTCATCTTGAGCCCTATGAGGCCGTGTCCTCAACCGACGCCCGAACAGAAGTTGTGCGGGGCTGTCTCCAGAAACACTAGGTTGCAGGAATAAACAAAATACACGTCGCTCCCCGGAATCGAACCCTGACTTTTAGCGTGGGAGGCAGGCGCGATAACCGTTAGGCTACGCGCGCGCTGCCTACTTGGCCAGCTGCGCGCGCGGCAATATGCATATATTGTGAAACTTATTTCGTAAACTATATTTCACGATATATATGGCGAGAAGCTGCCCATTCACGATTTTATGTTCTTTAATTAACTCCTAAGTTCAAGAGCACCAACTAGCATTTAACTTTTAATTCTGCAACGCAAAGTTGTATCCATCACGGGTGTTTTAGACGAGCCACCAGACTGATAACCTTTCGATTCCAGTAAAATATGTGCGAGCGAGTTAAACAAATAGATGTTGAGTAGTATAAATACGACGTTTTTTATGTTAATAACGTTTTTCTTTTAATGCTTCGTCGAAATTAAGTGACGCAATTTTTATCTTTGGCACCCGAAACTAAAAGTGGATTGTACGAATGATAAGAAGCTATATCATTACTCGTTCCAAGGTTGTAATTGTACCTAATGTGAAAACAACTAGGAAAATAGGTTCTGAATTTAGCAGTTCAAACCGGTTCAAACAAGTTCGAACAACTTCCGAACCGTTCAACCGAGTGCCTGTTGCCAAAACAAATCCGAAAATATGTTCTCAAAAGAAAGGTTCGTAACGGTCCAAACCGGTTCGAATCGTTATTTTTGCTTCCCAGATCTGAACCGAAACTGAGCTGAAAACCGTGAACCAGAACCCGAACCAAACCGATACCAATTTCGGTTCGACACTCTACTAGCCACTCAGCTTCAACTGCCCGTGCCAACAACTGATGGTATCGAGACAGTGCACAGGTTGGGTCCTCGCGAAGAAAATATCCCACCAATAATCGTACGATTCAGACACCGTTCTGTACGTGACCGTTGAGTTGCTAAGTGCGCGGCAATCAGGGACAAGCCTATCGTTGATGATAAGAACTTTACCGGGCACTGAGGCAATTGCTCTGCAGTGCAAAGCAGCCTGCTAGATAAAAATGTTAAACGTTGCAAGTTCGTGCGGGTAAGGAACGGAAAATTCTTTTTCCGTCAGAACGGGCACAAGGCAGATATTCGTATTGAAAATGACGGTGATTTGTTGAAAATCTCGTAATGGAGCGAAAATCAAGAAAGTCTTGTAGTGTTAACAACCGTGTTCAAATCGTCTGCAGTGCGATAAGTACTGAAAATATACCTTGGAAGCCTGTTAAAACTAAAGTGGCCCTAAAATACTGCACATTTATATAAGAAGTTTACACAAGCATTCGGACCAGTTACTGGTTTATTTGTCATATATATTAGATGATCAGAATGTTTTAATACTAACTGAAACAAACATTGACTCAGCGGCCTGCAACTTGTTTTCTTCGAATGGTTTTCACTCAATTTTCTTATGCAAAGTAATTCAAAAGAGAGGGAGCATGCATGCTCTCGCAGTCTGATGTTAACACACCTTTCAGTTTCGCCAAGGTAGGGTCTCCCGCAGGTAAATGATATATCGTATGCTCGTAAACTGCGAGAGCGTGCCCTTTTATTTAAGTCGACACCGGCTGGACATCTAGCCACTCACGTGAGAGACTGCAAATGCTTCCCAGTGTTAAGCCAAACTAAAGTCCTCAAGCGGTATTATAACCGGAACAGCAGAGATATTTATGAGGTCCACGCCATCAAGCTAAAGGGTATACGTGCATTAGTGCACCGCCTATAGGTCTGTCTGACAAAAAAATAAGCTCCCTCGAATTCTTTTCATAAACAATTTTTCCTGGAGATTTTTAAGGCTATCATGAAACATTTATGTTTTGTTTAATTTATATGATTTCCAAAAACAAATTTCACAATTTCTTTACCTTATTATCATCTCTTCCTGTATTTTTAATTAACACTTCCCTCACTGCCTCCTAGTCTTTCACTACTAATGAATTAAAATGTCAGTTTATAGTAAGCGCTTTTCCTATCTTGTTCTACGTCTCGTCCTTGTCCTTTGCGCATTTCGATATTTATTCTGTGTAACCAACTAGCCTAACAGTTAATTTTAATCCGGACATTTTGCATATTATTTTTTTAATTTTCGCGACATTCACAAATGTATATACTGTACGCTAATGTATTTCTGATATGAGTTTCTTGCGATACACGATCAGTGCTCTGAAGTGCTAATTTTCTATGCAGTATACACAGAGCAATTTGGAATATACTGAGCACCACATGTGTTTCCCCCTTGCTGACGGCAAAAAATAATGCATACTACTTACCAAGCACTCCTGCATAACTGGGGACATGTGCCACTGTCGAATAGAACTCGCATGAAAGGGTTGACATTCCTGCGTCGACAATTAATTGTCGCACAGCATTCTCAAGTTCGTTCATGCTTGGTGACGGATCGCGATGCCAGATGTTTGGGAAAAGGTCCTTGGTGTCCTAGACCGAAAAAAAAATGTATTAAATATAATTTTTATTACTGTGTTCATCCTTTAACCTTAAAACTTTTGTTCGAGCTGTTTGTTTTATTGTAATATAAAGGATGTAAGAAGCGCGATCTAGGCACAGACAAAAAAAGAGACGCTTGCAACGCGTTCAAATGGTGTCAGTGTGGCACCTGTACATTCCCTCCTCCCTGCCTATACACCGACACGCGGGTTTGACGTCACGGAGCTGCGGCGGCGCTGCGATCGCGCCGGAGCCGGGGGGTGTGGGCAAAAGCGCGCACGTTTCGCATGGGCGTCATAGCATTTCAGCATGTCGCGAAGCTGTGTTGTCGTTAATTGCACCGAAATGTACAAGAAAAGCAGCGGAGTGAGTTTCCACAAGTTCCCGGCAGACTCTGAAAGGCATAGAAGGTGGATAATATCCGTGGATCGAAAAGAATGGTCGCGTCGCGCGAACGACCGTTTGTGCGGCAAACACTTTCTTGGAGGCAAGTGCGGCTTCCATTCCAATCTCCGTCGCGAGGCTTGCTTATGTGCAGGGAAACCGTCGTCTGATCAAGACCACCCGGATTTTGTTCCCACGGTGTTCGCGCACAACGCACAGGCCAAGCGCTCGTCGGAGGCCCGCTACGCCCGTGCTACCGAGCAGAAGGGGATCGGCGACAGAACGGCAGAGTTGTAGGCGTTACCGAAAAAAAGTAACGAAATACGTCACTCGTTACTTGCAAATAAAAGGTACGCGTTACTGAGCTACGTTACCTAAATATAAAAGAAACGCGTTACCGCTACCGATAAAAAGTAAGGCACGTTACTTCTGCGATACTTTTTTAAATTATGATTTAACACATTTTACGGTTTTGACGATACAGGTCATATATCAAGCAGAAGCTGAACATAAATACTTTATCTCTTTTTACGGTTTCACCTAAATACTTACGAGAAAAATCGCAAAGAAAACATGGCTTCACGCCTAAAACACGGAAACAATTGAAGTGCGATTTCTTTAAGACTTGGGAAGTACTAACGACTAACGTAACTACGTTATTTGAAATAGTAGCATAAGTACGTTACCCGTTACTGTGTCAAGAACGTAGCGAGTAGGGAACTACGTTACTGAAAAAAGTAACGCATTCCTGGTAACGCCGTTACTTGTAACCTGTTACCGCCAAGACTGCAGAACGGACAAACCTTTACTGGTTGTAATGCCTTGTGGTCACGAGGGTATGAAAAATATCATACCTTGACTTGAAGACGCTCTGTGTATTTAATCAATTAATGAATACACACACTTCCGCAGACCCACAGTCTGCTGATCCCGCCGGCGGTGCGGAAACCGACTCGATGTAATCGTAGGCCTTGAGAGACTTGTAGGCCTGCACCGTGTCGGCCGTGAACTGACTTGGCGAAAACTAAATAAACGACGACCTGAGCCGTCGACTTCCGTGGCAGCAACTTTACGTCGGAAGTCCAACACCTAGGCCTTGTTTACGGCGTGCGGATCCTCGTAGGCAACGCCGTCCACGCACAGTTTGTTTCGATACCGCTACCGTTCAGGCTCGGGCAACGAGTTCAAATAGTCGGGCATAGCATACGACATACGTTATGAGGAAATACGACGCACAAATAAAGATACAAGCGTCCCTGCAACGTCAACAACGAGCGCACGCCATAGAGCGCAATGGCGAAAAAACGGAGAGCCGGGATGCTTTTGCCCACATAGCTACCGCGCATGCGCGGCCTTCCGGCCGTGTTGGTAAACAGAGCCGCTCCGCGTGTCGGTCTATAGCTTGTGCTTTCGTGATTGATTGTAGAGCGCAGCCCTTAGGCCCCCGTTACCGGCTTGCGCGGCGTCGCCGTCGACGTCGGCGTAACCGCGCGGTGCATTATGGGACGCGCGACGTCACTGATGACGTCATATGGGACGCGTGACCTCACTGATGAGATCATCAGGGACGTCATAAGTGACGTCAACGACGTCGTCATCGTCATTGATGACGTCATCAGTGACGTCACCGCTGACGTCATTGTAATCGTCACTGATGACGTCATTAGTGACCTACTGATGACCAATCTTGGGTAAGTTACTTTTAAAAAGTAATTCGTTACAGTTACAGTTACTTTCAGAAAAAAGTAGCGAAGTTACCGTTACAGTTACCGCAACAAAAGAGTAACTCGCTACAGTTTCAGTTCCTTTCAAAAAGTAACGACGTTACTTTTAAGTTACTTTTCGATAACACAAAAAATTTAGGAAAAACTAGTGTCTGAAAGAAAAAAAATATAGACACGAATCAGCAAAGCGTTCACCATAGCGGTAAATTGGAACTTCATAGTTTAGCTGGAAAGTTAGTCAATATTATAAAAAAAAATGAAGTCCAAAATTCAACTGAATGTGTTTTCTCAGATTTAAATACGAAGACTTGTTGTCGGAGTACTCCTTGCTGCAAAGTTTGCATACTGCCGTCAAATTGTTAGCAACCCCCTTCACACAGCAAAATACTGTCTGTACGCCGTTCATACTAATTCTTTGTTCTCATCAATCCTTGGTAGCACTAGCACATTGCTTGCTCGTTGACGGTTGCGCTGGGTTCATGGAGTCTTCGGCATATTTCAGTACGTACACGGCAAGCCAGAAACAAACCCCGCGCAAACAACAGTAAATTTTGCCTCCACTGTTGACACCACGCTGGAGTTGGGGCGCAAATCAAAATACGAAACATACGAAGTGCCCTCGCGTGTATTGTTGTTTCACGGTTGATTCACCCGATTAAAAGAGTGTGCGCAGAAAAAAAAAACTGCAACAGAGATAGTGCTTTAAGATACTAAGATATAAGTGTTCAGTCACAAAGTACAAGCACGTGCGTAAAGATAACTAGATTCTTCTTTTCTTCTTTTTTTCCATCAAATCTACACGTGGCTATATTCGGGTCGTGACTCGCGAGAAAGAACGTATACCCAAGTTTGTGCAAGGCCAACTGACACTCGAAATGTCGGAACAGACAATCTGGAAAGTGCAAGGAATGGCTAGATTATACTCGTTCAATGATATATTATTCGTAAAAAACTGAAAAGTAACGACAAAAGTAACATCGTTACTTTCATTGTTACCTCAGAAAAAGTAATAGAACTACAGTTACAAGTTACTTTCTTAAAAAGTAACTCGTTAGTTACAAGTTACCGAAAAAGTAACGAAGTTGGAGTAACGCGTTACTAGTAACGCGTTACTAGTAACGCGTTACTACCCAAGCCTGCTGATGACGTCATCGGCATTCGCATCGTCATCGTCCCTGATAACGTCATCAGTGACGTCACTGATGACGTCATCGGCATCCGCATCGGCATCATCCCTGATGACGTCATCGGTGACGTCACTGATGACGTCATCGGAATCCGCATTGTCATCGTCACTGATGACGTCACCGGCATCGGCACTGATGACGTTATCAGTGACGTCACTGATGACGTCAGCGTCACGTGACCCCATAATGGTCACGTGACCTCGTGAGGTCACGTGACCCCCGTGAGGTCACGTGACCCCCGTGAGACGACGGAGGAGGGAGGATGAGGACGTGAGGAGGAGGGAGGAGGGGTATACCCGCCCCTTGGTACCCTTCCCCTCTTCCTCCTCAAGAGCTGCGCTCTAATCCGGCATTACAGGGCTTTCATTTTTTGTTTTGGGCAGAAGTTCGCCCCATTAAACGTTTCAATTTCCTCAGATATTTCTTGTTCGTCACCTCGTCATTCGTGGCAATATTAGTAGTAGCTCTATTTCCAAAAGCAGCAAGAGCACACAGTGTGGGTGTAATATACAAAAAACAGTGTAAAAACCATTCGGCACAGAAACCTGAATTCGCAATTTGACGCAGGACAGTCAATCGCAGGCAATCGCGTTACCCGCCTTGCGAATCGCACACATTCGAAACTTAGTCTGCGTGTGTCGCCCGCTATGAAGCACGAAAAGCGACCGCTTGTGATTTGCAGTCTCATATCCGACGGCGCCCATTACTTTCGGCGCCGAATCTCAGAAAAGCGGATGTGTTGCGATTTTTGACCCCGTGCTGATAAGGATGTGGGAAGCGTATCAGTGTACTCTCTGGTTTATTTAAAATGGTTAGAACCCGCCGACTGATTGATCATTATAGATAGACGATCCGGAAAACCAGTTGCACCCTTAAGCATTTTTTTTCCTATTGTGGGTTCTTAATCACATTACTGGCTCATTTCTTGGTGCTCGATCTCCGACTAAGCGCCGATGGCGTGACAGGAATTTTTGATATATTTCTCTTCCGCTTGGTTTGCGAATGTAATCTATGGGAATAAATTGCATGCACATGCGGTACTGCACAAAGAAAGGATGGTTTCCGAAAGCCCTAATTTTTTCCATGGCAATAGAATTGCGTAAACACAGTCCAATGAATTTTTCGAACTCTTTTTATTTTTGCAACTTTGATACCACGCAACAGTTCGAGATTATGAAGGTTTTGTTTTTGATCTATAAAAATAGAATTGCTTTTATGCCCGGCATTGTTTATAAATTCTCTACAAGAACGACAGGTGTAATAAAAAGCAATGGTAAGTTGAAGAATTAATATCAAGTTAAGATAGATATATCGTGACTGCGCAGATAATTATGAGCATGAAAATATCCTCCACATGCAGCTATAACTTTGGAAGAATATCTGTCTAGCGGATACTCAAATGTGTGAAAGGCGGCCAGCGCTGGTAGTGCTAGCAGCGAAGAGGGTTGAGGTTACTCTTGAACTGGATTGTAAGTAAGTCGCACACAAAAAAAAAGGATCGCTACCGGACTTATTAAAATTATTTCCAGATATATATGGATATTATTTTAGTACGTATTGCGCAACTCTGGGGCACACTATGCCACTATAAGATGTTGACCACAGATATATGCGTCATATAATATGTTTAGCGAACACACAAACCAATGTGGAATTTAGATTTCAATGTCATTACTAACAGTGTGACTTCAGGGTA